CGAGTTTATTACATGTGAGGGGTGACAGGTGGGGCGAGTTCATTCCATTCGAGGGGTGACAGGTGGGGCGAGTCCATTCCATTTGAGGGGTGACAGGTGGGGCGAGTTCATTCCATTTGAAGGGTGACAGGTGGGGCGAGTCCATTCCATTTGAAGGGTGACAGGTGGGACGAGTTCAATTCATTTGAGGGATGACGGGTGGGATGATTCCATTCCATTTGAGGGGTGTCATGCATGTTGCTATAAACAAACAAACCTTATGAATGGATTGCAAGATTGTAAATTTATACTTTATATTGAAATTTAGATATTCTTTCAGCGGGTAAGACCTTTAATGTCCAATTTTCATTTACAAAATAATGTGCATAATTACAAAGCTTTAAACCATTTCAATTTTAAATATCGCCAGGTTTCATAGAAAATCGTCATTCCTCCCCCCCCCCTAAGAAAAATTACACAATTTTCCAGATTGAACTTGAAACAGTTATCACATCTATGTAATCTTTCTCCTTTCCCATTTTCATATTGCTGCACTGTGTATTTTATATCAATATGAAAAAAAAAAAATAACGAGGAATTATAACAATATTTATTCGGATTTGATATAAGAGATACATGAAATTGACCTTGTTGCTTGCAGGCCCATATTGCACAGTTTCTCCGTGGGCTTCTGAAATGAAAAAAAAAGCATAGAAATTTTGATTCAACTGACAGATTGAGATCATTTTGTCTTATTCTAGAGAAGAGCAAAACATCTTATTTGAACACTTTCTTTTAAGAATGTATGAAATAAATTACACATAACATGGATGAAAGTACAATCAAGTTTTAATATACATGTAGTTGGTCGTGTAATGGAGGAACAGAATACGGCACACTGGAGACGATAGTCAACCTGCGTAAAACTTTCATCTGTAAACCATCGCTTTATTAGCAATTGACATGTGCGTGAATGTGTGTTGTATTATATTAAAAACACTTACCTTACAAAAAGATTTTAACAGCATGTCAATCTTTAAGCATAAATGGATTGCTCAAGTGTAATCTGAAACAAGTAAGAGAACTTTAATAGCTATGTGGATGAAATGATGTATTTTAAGAATTGCTTATTCTTCCCAGGTGAAATGATCAATCCATTACAGTGCATAAATTTAACCCAAAAGAAATGGCTGAAAACCATCGTTATTGTCTTCAAAAGCGACGTTTGAAATGTTAATTAAAGTTGACTTGATGTACACCTTGAAAGGGCAGACTTCTCATAGTATCCAAAACTAAGAACTACGACAAGTAATATTACCTAAATGAATCAGTCTTTTTTGTGCAGTTATGTTTATTACACGAAACTATTTTAAATTAAGACACAAATGCCTTTTCAATTGCCAGGGGTCATACAAAAAAATCTCACACGTGCACAACTAAATATAGCTAGTTTGAAGATTTCAAGCAAACTCATTGTTTCATCAATGGTCAGCTGAAAGCACCATTTCTCCTGTACAGTTGTAGTCCCAAAGCATTGTAACCAACATATTCTGACATTGTGAGTGACATACAAGTAACAATGGGCATAATATTACAAATCGCGCTACTAATATCTACATTAAATTTTCTCTCATTTGGTTGCACTTGTGTGTTATTGAGGGAGGTTATTTAAGAAGCAGTGCTACTTACCATATTACTTCCTTCTACGTCTTACAAAAGCATAAACTTGTGGATTCACCACACATGATGTTGCGTCTTCACTCAACTGTGCCCAACTGCAGAGTGAGTATTCAGCTCGCACCACGACGGGCAACTTATTGTTATACAAATTAGAACAGATTTGGCCCATTTTGGTTGAGAGGTTTTCGCTAAAACTGCTCACAAATGTTCATTGTCAAAATATAAACAGTACATTTTTGATACAACTGTTGATACAACTGTCCACTTGTTAAAATATACTACTTAAATACAAAAACTACTTTTAAAAATCATAATCGAATAAAGGGTTTTTATGACTAATTTAATTAAGACTATGTCTTAATTTAAACCCACGATCCGCAATATTTTATATACTGAAGCAAATCAGTAGAAATAGTTTAATATAGGCAGGACAAAAGGGTCCTTTCTATATGACTGGTCGCTAACACTGTCATCTCGAGCAAAGTTGTATTGGTCACACATGAATTTTTTTTTACTTCGATACCATCATTTCTAAATATTATGTTGGCTTTAAAAGACAGAGGTTCGTTGAAAGACAACAACGATTACATGGCCATTTTAACACCTTTTCCCGAAAATGATATATTGGAAAATGGTCTTTGCTTACTGTTTTTTCTGTGTTTTAAGTACGAAAGCCTGCAATCAGAGGCGGATTTGGGAGGGGGGGGGGTCAGGGGGGTCCTG